GGCTTAAAATTACATTTTGATACGCAATAACCTAATGCACCTACAAACGGAATGGACATAGAACGTAGCACACTGAACTCTACTCAATTACCAACGAGAATTTTTAGGATGAGCTATTTCTGGCTCTCGTATGAAAACTGATAGATACTCAACCATTCATTTTAACCAAAACAAAAACATCAACGGAGTTAGGCTATAAAGATGGCTGAGGAGAGCCGTACAGTTCTAAAAATATTTAGCAACAAATAATTTATTGAGACCCTCATCGTCCACCAACTGAACAATTGTTTTGCAACAGTGATCCATTAATGTGTAAATTTTTATTGAATAGACTTTGTTTTGATCTCAGTTTTAATCGCTGCATTCAGCGGACTTTTGTTGAGTGCAGCATATGATTACATAACAGACGTCCAAAAGCAAAAAACTTACGGTTCACCGGGTACATCCACAGCCGGTCCAATTCCTCCAACCCATTGATTGTCTCCATCACAGGAGAAACTTGAATATCCTGGTTCACAAACCTGAAACATCAAATTAAGTCAGGAATTAGAGTGAAGGGGAAGAAATGATGTTGACAAGGCTTTTGTGAATTGATCATTAAATTTTTTGAGGTTGAACTGCGAGATAACTAATAACAGTGAGATTGATTTAGATCAGTATCCGATGAAGATACATCACTTTAAAATGAATATAAAACATTCGGATACGAACCGAAATGTGAGCTACGTCTCTGCCAGCACGATGAATTTGCCGTAAGTGATCAGCATCGCGTTCCCTCAAAAATCCGTCACTTATGTTATTGATTCTGAAAGTGTTAAGGTCTCTGTCGCAACGGTGTTGACAAAATTAAATGAGAAATTGCAATAAGATGGTACATTAGAATTGCAGTTGATGTGAAGAGTATAAAAGCAATAATCTAAAACAGCAACTACCTATAAAACCACGGAAGATCTGTAGCCTCTTTAACGGTGTCTGCCCATCCAAAGCAAGATGGTCGTGCACAGCCAAGAAGAGGCTGTCCACCTGGAAGAACCTAAAGAAAGAAATTTCTGAAAGTTGCTCTTGCAGTCACAAACGACTGAAAACTATTGACTAATCGTGCTTTTTATGTTTTTCTGCCCAACGTGAATTGCAGCACTGGTTCTTTGATAACTGTTTACATTTGGT